CTAAAGGACTAACTGAGTCCAGCTCTGAAGATCTAAAGGACTAACTGAGTCCAGCTCTGAAGATCTACAGGTCTAATGGACCAGAGGTCTGAAGGACTAAAGGACTAATGTTCTAAATAACTCAAAGTGTGAAGCTCTGAACTAACAATCTCAAACTGGTCTTCGGACAGACACCACCGAAGATGGATCTGGCATCTGGACCATGAGACCTTCATCAGGTTGGAAACTGAAAACTGTTTACCTGTCGGCGTCGGTGACCAGTGCCAGGCGGCCATAGTCCCAGGCAACTTTCCGCAGAATAGAAAAGACAAAAAGCAGCACCTGCAGAGAAAGACAAAGACTTCCTGTTAGACGTCTCATGGTCACTCAGAGGTCACAGAAACACACTGTGGTCGCCGTGGTTACAGTCAGTGAACATCAGTATGTGGGTCAATGTGGATCTTTCTCCATTTTTAAGCTGCAGAATTGATTTTTTAGTTTTTTCAACGTTACCAGAACTGCCATGTTTCTCCTCTGGTCATGTGTGTGTTTCAATTCAGTTTTATTTCTATAGCACCAAATCAAAACATACATGATGTCTGTTTCTGTGTGTCAGTGTCTCACCAGGAAGCACATGAAGTCGAGGGCGAGCACGGTGGGCACTCCTCCGAACGGCAGGCCCTGCAGCACCGTGCTGCGAATACGAGCAGAGTAACAGTAATCTTTGGACTCGCTGTTAGCCGAGCAGTTGTCCTGACCGCCACACGTCTGGCCACCGCCAAATATCGCCATGGTAACGATCAGCACTCTGAGCATGCTCACTGCCGCATTGTGGCTGAGACCCTGAGGGAGGAGAACGTTATGAACAGCAGTTCAACAAACCGACAATACAAGTGGATTATTAAAATGACATCAGTAAGACTAAATGAGTGGATGTGGACCTGACGATCGTTTTTATTTATATTCTTTTATTAATTATTTATATTCTTTTATAATTTATTCCAACGAAGACAGAACCAGCGATGGAGACGTTTGAAAAGTGAAGCAGCGTCACTGATCAGCAGCAGGTGAAACAAACATGGCCGCCAAGTCTCGTCTGCAGCTAACTGGTGACTTCAGACTACATTTCCCAGCATGCCTCAGCTGCAGCAGCAGACAGCTTCCTCCCTCTGTGACCTACTGATCCCGTTGTCATGACTGCAGCTCCTGACCCAGTTTTTACGCCTCGGCAGACGTTTGTCACGAAACACAAGTGACGGAGCTGAAGTCAGTGACATCATCATTACATCCCTGACTTGAAACAAAGAGACCCGCCCCCCGACCTTTCTAACTGGTCATGGTTTGTTGCGGTGGAGACAGAAGACGATGGTCAATAGTATTTATGGAGGGAGGTTCATATTAGATCCTAAAAGATCCAGCAGAGATCGACTGCATGGATTCATGCGCTCATAAAGCACTAGCACGTTTCTATGACACGCAGCCGTCAGGAGCGGTTCACACACTTCAGCATGCGTTGAGTCCAGGGATCAAACCACTAACACTGTGGACGACCCGCTCTACCTTCTGAGCCACAGCTGAGTTTCTGCTCCACCACAGTTCTCATCGTCTTCATCTGCCACAGTCGACAGAGGCAGCGACGCATTCGCTCATTAGCAAACAAACAAATTCTAAATATGCGACATTTTATTTTGTTGAACTTGTGGAACTCTACGTCCGTTTGTTTAATTTCAGGATCAATGTTTGGTTATGAAGTTTACAGATCAGTAATCCAATAGAAGCTCCGCCCACAGACCAATCAATTCATTTGAAACATGACATCATTGTTACTGTGGAGGATCCCGTAGAGCTGCACAGTTTCACTGTAAAAACAATCCCCCGTGTTTCCCAGCTGTTCTTCCTGCGTTGAGCAGCTGGAACTGGTTCTTTCATTCTAACAGTTTGATCCTCGTTGTGAAACACGAGACTCCGCTGCAAGGTTATTATAGTTTTGAAATTTTCATTAGTTTTTCAGTTTGCTTTTTTATTTCTGTTTAGTTTTAGTTAGTTCAACAAGTGATTTTGTAGTTTTACTTTAGTTTTTATTTTGAGGAATCGACTAGTTTCAGTTTAGTTTTTATTTAGTTTAAGTCTTAGTTTTATTTTTCCAGGTATTAAGAGAAAGCCTTGACTTGTAGAGGATGAAACAATGTGTGACACCAAATATGGTTTATCAAGTCCTTTAATTTCATTCTTTAACCATCAGCTGCAGGTAAATCTAAAGTAAAATTGAAATGGTCTGTATTCCAGCATGAAGTTGTGGAAAAACCTTGTGAACCTCCAGAAACAAGGCAAAATGTTTCCTATAACTGAAAAACAAATCCAATTCATCTCACCCCATACAGTCATAATGCTAATAATGTTATTCCACAGGTGGCTTGATAAGAAATGGATGCCTCATATCTGCCCGAGTAAAAGATTGTAAATATGAAAATAAGAATGGCACTACTAGTCAAATGATTTCTGAATGTAAATCTAGTAAACTTTAGTGTGAACCTTTAATTAACAGGCACTTATCCAAAGACAAACTATATATATCAGCAACAAAAACAGGATGTTAGTTGCAGTAGGTGAGAGAGAGACAAGATGGTTTGAACAGCTTCAAGAAGCCGCTATATTCACATCTCTCTGGTCTCCACTTGGAATTGTTTTACTAATTTTTATAACCGTCCCTGAGACAATTATCTGAAATGATCACACACACACACACACACACACACACACACACACACCTCACCACATATCTTTAGTGCAATCATTTTTGTTAATCTTGAGGAAAACGCGTTGCTCAAGAGAAGTCGTAGTCTGATTTCTCAGACCCGACGATAGAAGTCCACACACAGAGAAAATGCTTGGGAGGCCGTGAGGGGCACTGACTAAATCTAAAGCCACTGGAGCAAGTCTTGGATAAATGGCTTCCCTTCCTGTCTATGCTGCCACCCTCCCTCCAGAGGGTGGCAGCATAGACAGGAAGTCATCGAGGAAGAAAACGAAACGACAACGAAGCTGAATTTATCTGCAGTTCAGTTTAGTTTAGTTAGTTTTGCTTTGTTCATTGTAGTTTTTATTTGTATTTCAGTTAACTAAATTATTTTTTCATTGCTAGTTTTAGTTTTCGTTCACTATAATAACCTGCTCCGCTGTCAGTCAAACTGTGCATGTCTGTGAATGGTAATACGCAGTAAACCCCGCCCCCTTTATGTACACGTCCAGGTGAGGAAGACCTGGGTTAACGAGTTGATAAGCGTCATGTGACCGCTCGGCCTGACTGATCGTTAGGTTAAGTTCAGCTGGATAGCGGTTGAACTCTTTTCGTAGTGCAGGCACTCGGGAGAAAGTCTCACAGCGAGTTGCAATCGCATGTTGTAAAAGACGGAGCGTGATTGGCTGAGGAGCAGCTTGTCGTCTGTCGTGCATCTCAAACACGACAGGGGAAGATTTTCTGTTGTCGTCTGAGCGCAGCAGTACTTCCTGTCACCTGACCTTCAACCTCATTCAGTCCTGAGCAGAGAAGCACAGAATCCAACACTCTGTCCGTGACCTCATCATCCGTGCAGTTGACTGACGCTGGAGCTGTGATGCTCTCTGCAGCCTGTAGGGGGGGCTGACAGGGACCGTGGGATTTCATCAGCAATATTCCACCAATCAGCACCATTCACAGAATAACACCCCCCCCCCCCCCCCCCGTTGTCATGGAGCAGCAGCAGCATGACTCATCTGAATCCTTCACACACACACACAGTTTCACAGATAGCAGTGTGTGTGTGTGTGTGTGTGTGTGTGTGTGTGTGTGTGTGTGTGTGTGTGTGTGTGTCTCGTCACTGTTGTCCACAGTTTGAACGTCAGCTCTTATCTCAACAAACATGATTCAGTAGAAGCAGCTTCATGCTGCGGGGACAGAAACATGTCAGAGAGTCGTCCAGCATCAGAATGTGAATCACTGTGTGGATCAGAAATGACGTCTTCATTTGTTTTTCGGTTTCTTCTGCCCTGAGCGTCGCGTCGCTGCGAGTTTGATGCAAATTCCAAACGCCTCAAAGTGCGTGACACGAGTTGATGGGTGAGTTTGGTGTGAACGCACCATACAAGTTGTTAAATGTCTAAAGTCAATCACTGATTTCTTTTGAATAAAATCTATTTACATCTGATTGAAGATCATAGACATGACGTCCTGTCACTGGGTGATGGTTAGATTGACAGATGTCGGAGGACGGAGACGTGGAATCTGAGCTGGGCCTCGTTCAGGGCCTGGATTCTGGAGGTGGCTGCTGGGAGTTGTAGTCAGTTGGTCTGAGGTGCTCAGCTGGGACCAACACGTCCTCTGAGGACGAGGCAGAGAGCGAGGACTGCGTCTCTCCGACAGGTTGCTGGGTGGAAAGATGACGGGGACATTAGTCCTTGTTGTTTCCAATGTGGAGGTCGGGACAGAAGCAGCCGATGGAGGACGAGCTTCTTCTCAGTCTCACAGAACTGACGATCGGACCCTTGGACAAAGTGACGTGTTCCTCAGGTGGTGATGGTTTGATACCCACAGAGAACTGATCAATCATAAATCACCAAAACATAGTACTCCACAGTACTCCACAGTACTACAGTACTCCACAGTACTACACAGTACTCCACAGTACTACGGTACTCCACAGTACTACAGTACTCCACAGTACTCCACAGTACTACATAGTACTCCACAGTACTACAGTACTCCACAGTACTACACAGTACTACATAGTACTCCACAGTACTACATAGTACTCCACAGTACTACGGTACTCCAAATTACCACACAGTACTACAGTACTCCACAGTACCATACAGTACTACAGTACTCCACAGTACTACACATTACCACACAGTACTACACATTACCACACAGTACTACAGTACTCCACAGTACTACGGTACTCCACAGTACTACAGTACTCCACATTACCACACAGTGCTACATTACTACAGTATTACAGTACTTCACTACTACATTACTCCACAGTACTACAGTACCCCACATTACTTCACAGTAGTTCGCTTCTTCTTCTTCTATGGTTTAATGTGTCT